ACCGGCACCTGGGACACACCTACCGGCACCTGGGGCACACATACCGGCACCTGGGGCACACATACCGGCACCTGGGGCACACATACCGGCACCTTGGGCACACCTACCGGCACCTGGGGAACACATACCGGCACCTGGGGCACACGTACCGGCACCTGGGGCACACATACTAGCACCTGGGGGGCACACGTACCGGTACCTGGGGCACACATACCGGCACCTGGGGCACACGTACCGGCACCTGGGGCACACGTACCGGCACCTGGGGAACACATACCGGCACCTGGGGCACACATACCGGCACCTGGGCACACATACCGACACCTGGGACACACCTACCAGCACCTGGGGCACACCTACCAGCACCTGGGGCACACATACCGGCACCTGGGGCACACGTACCAGCACCTGGGGCACACATACCAGAACCTTGGGCACACATACCGGCACCTGGGACACACCTATCGGCACCTGGGGCACACATACCGGCACCTGGGACACACCTACCGGCACCTGGGGCACACATACTGGCACCTGGGGCACACCTACCGGCACCTGGGGCACACATACCGGCACCTGGGGCTCACGTACCGGCACCTGGGGTACACATACCGGCACCTGGGACACACCTACCGGCACCTGGGGCACAACTACCGGCACCTGGGGCACACATACCGGCACCTAGGGCACACGTACCGGCACCTGGGGCACACATACCAGCACCTGGGGGCACACGTACCGGTACCTGGGGCACACATACCGGCACCTGGGGCACACGTACCGGCACCTGGGGCACATGTACCGGCACCTGGGGCACACCTACCGGCACCTGGGGCACGCATACCGGCACCTGGGCACACGTACCGGCACCTGGGGCACACGTACCGGCACCTGGGGCACACGTAGGTGGCACCCAGCTTGAGCTGCATGTGGCACGCACACAGCACAGGCGCCCCCTCGGGTGCGCGCTGGGGGAAGCCCATGCGCACCAGACTCGCCAGGCTGGCCGCGCTATCGGGCCGCACTGGGGGTGGCGGGGCATGGCTAAGCAGCAGCTCCCTCAGATGGCCCTGTGGGGGGGGGGGCGAGGGGGGGGAGGAGCAGGGAGGGAGGAGCAAGGACTGTGGGTCAGCAGCAGCGGCCTCAGGTGGCCCTGAGGGGGGATAGGGTTGGGGATACATGAGGGAGGGAGGGAAGGGTATTGGATTGCCTGGCTGTGGCCTTGCCAGGCGGACAAGAAATAAGGCGAGCTACGAAGTATGTGCTGGCCATGACCCCTCTCCCAGTACCTATCAATGCAACCCTCACTGCCTCACCATGCTCACCCCATCCATCCTCACCCCATCCATGCTCATCCCAACATTGCAACCCCCCAATGCAGTCTGCTCACCTCGTCCACCCCCCTAGTGCCCGCTGTGCTCACCTCGTCCACCCCCCCAGTGCCCGCTGTGCTCACCTCGTCCAGGGCCACGCTGTACCGCCCGCCCGTCTGCTCGGCGATCTGGCGGCAGATGTGCACCTCGGCGCCGCCCACCCCGATGATGGAGCAGCGCAGGTGGCCGGCCTTGGCGCGGGCGATGGCGGGCAGGATGTCGGCGGGGTCAGTGGAGGAGAGCGCGGCGAACAGCAGCACCAGCTCCTTGTGGCCGTAGGCGGGCACGTGGGCCACCGCATCCACTGCTGCATCCAGGGCGTTCTGGGGAAGGAGGAGACGGAGAGTTGTGGGGCAGTGGTGTGGCACAGGGGAGAGGCATGCGGGCACGTGAGCATGTGAGTTTGAGAGCATGCGAGCAATGGTCATGTCGGCATGCTGTGCTGCCTTGGTGAGGACAAAGCACGCAACCATTGGATGGCATGACAGGAGGGCGAGCATCTGCAGGGAGCGAGAGCACCTGCAGGGAGGGCGAGCACCTGCAGGGAGGGTGAGCACCTGCAGGGAGGGCTAGAACCTGCAGGGAGGGCGAGCACCTGCAGGGAGGGCGAGCACCTGCAGGGAGGGCGAGCACCTGCAGGGAGGGCGAGCACCTGCAGGGAGGGCTAGAACCTGCAGGGAGGGCGAGCACCTGCAGGGAGGGCGAGCACCTGCAGGGAGGGCGAGCACCTGCAGGGAGGGCGAGCACCTGCAGGAGGGCGAGCACCTGCAGGGAGGGCTAGCACCTGCAGGGAGCGAGCCTGCAGGGAGGGCGAGCACCTGCAGGGAGGGCGAGCACCTGCAGGGAGGGCGAGCACCTGCAGGGAGGGCGAGCACCTGCAGGGAGGGCGAGCACCTGCAGGGAGGGCTAGCACCTGCAGGGAGGGCGCGCACCTGCAGGGAGGGCGAGCACCTGCAGGGAGGGCTAGCACCTGCAGGGAGGGCGAGCACCTGCAGGGAGGGCGAGCACCTGCAGGGAGGGCGAGCACCTGCAGGGAGGGCGAGCACCTGCAGGGAGGGCTAGCACCTGCAGGGAGGGCTAGCACCTGCAGGGAGGGCTAGCACCTGCAGGGAGGGCGCGCACCTGCAGGGAGGGCGAGCACCTGCAGGGAGGGCGCGCTCCTGCAGGGAGGGCTAGCACCTGCAGGGAGGGCGCGCACCTGCAGGGAGGGCGAGCACCTGCAGGGAGGGCGCGCACCTGCAGGGAGGGCTAGCACCTGCAGGGAGGGCGCGCACCTGCAGGGAGGGCGAGCACCTGCAGGGAGGGCGAGCACCTGCAGGGAGGGCTAGCACCTGCAGGGAGGGCGAGCACCTGCAGGGAGGGCGAGCACCTGCAGGGAGGGCTAGCACCTGCAGGGAGGGCGCGCACCTGCAGGGAGGGCGAGCACCTGCAGGGAGGGCGCGCACCTGCAGGGAGGGCTAGCACCTGCAGGGAGGGCGCGCACCTGCAGGGAGGGCGAGCACCTGCAGGGAGGGCGCGCACCTGCAGGGAGGGCGCGCATCTGCAGGGAGGGCACGCACCTGCAGGGAGGGCGTGCACCTGCAGGGAGGGCGAGCACCTGCAGGGAGGGCTAGCACCTGCAGGGAGGGCGAGCACCTGCAGGGAGGGCGAGCACCTGCAGGGAGGGCTAGCACCTGCAGGGAGGGCGCGCACCTGCAGGGAGGGCGAGCACCTGCAGGGAGGGCGCGCACCTGCAGGGAGGGCTAGCACCTGCAGGGAGGGCGCGCACCTGCAGGGAGGGCGAGCACCTGCAGGGAGGGCGCGCACCTGCAGGGAGGGCGCGCATCTGCAGGGAGGGCACGCACCTGCAGGGAGGGCGTGCACCTGCAGGGAGGGCGAGCACCTGCAGGGAGGGCGAGCACCTGCAGGGAGGGCGAGCACCTGCAGGGAGGGCGCGCACCTGCAGGGAGGGCAAGCACCTGCAGGGAGGCAGGCCCCGAGGCAGTGAGGTTGGACTGGAGCGCCTTGATGTGCGAGTCGGGCGGCGAGGTGAGGTCCGACACCTGCAGAGCCACGCCGTCCCTCAGCAGCAGCAGCGCAAGGTGGCTGAGCGGGTTGCTGTCGAAGAAGTCGAGGATGAACGCCTCCGCGCTGCGCGCCATGGCTGCCATGCGCGACGGCTTCATGTCCAACTCACTCGCTGCCTGCCTGCCACGCAGGGAGGTGACATGCCATGCCATGCCATGCCATGTGCGGCGACAAGCCATGCCACAGCAGGCGATGGGATGGCATCATGACACGCACCATATGATAGACACATGCCATATGATAGACACATGCCATGAGGTACACGAGATGCCACAGCAGGAGATGCGACGGCATAATGATATCCAATCGCGGTTCTTCATCTGATGGCTCTGCTGCTACAAACACGCCAACCCTTGGAGGAGAAAACAGTGAATCCAGTTTCCGTTGGCCAGCGCCACTCGCCTCTTCTGATTCCACCCACATGTGACATGCCCACCGCCCCTCCAGAATGAAGCAGGTGCCCGCGAAAGGAGTGACCTCATCTCTGGGCAGCACCACTCCACTCCACACTCCCCACCCACCACCCACCCGCGAGAGGTCGAGGGCGAGCACGAGGTAGCGGATGATGCCGCGCCGCACCCGCTCCGCCCCCACGCGCCCCGCCTGCCCCGCCTGCTGCCGCCGCCGCCTCTCTCTCTCGCCGCGCTGCTGCCCCGCCACGTCCACTGCGCGCAGCCGCCCACTCTCGTCCTCCTGAGAGGGAAGCGGTGGGGGGGCGGGGGGGGGGAAGGGATCATGGCAGGCGCGGGCTTGGGGAAGGAGAGGAGGGGCGGGCAAGAGAAGGAAGGATGAAAGCAAGGGAGTGGGGGCAGCGAAGGCGAGCCCAGCAGTCGTTGAGAGCAGCAGAGTGCAGCAGGCAGAAGCGATTGGTGAGGGGTGAGCAAGTGCAAGGGGAGTGATGACTAATCACCTGCACTGCCTCCCACGACCCGCTCTCACCTGCACTGCCTCCCACGACCGGTCGTTGGCATAAGACCGCTCCCACGCCTCCTGCTCTCTCATGGCGTCCTCCGCCGCCACCTCCTCCTCCTCCTCCTCCACGTTGTACGCCACGTCCACCCGCCGCGCCTCCGACCGCTTCATGGCGCCGCCCGCTGCACAGAGGCGAGGATGCGCGTGCTGCACAGAGGCGAGGATGCGCGTGCTGCACAGAGGCCGCTACAACAGCCACAGAGGCACGCCACAGAGGTGCGACCCTCCCGTGCGTCACTCGAGTGTGGGCCCCCCCTTCACCACGTCAATGCCGGCAGGTCCATGCCGGCACTCGCCCTAGCCTCACTTTTGAGTCGACTCCAAAGCCACCTAGGTTTTGTGCGTCGCGATGTCGATCTGAGGCTGCGCTAGGAGCCACATCGATGCAGTACATCAGCGGCTGGGTTCATCCAGAAATTGGAGTTTTCGCCGGGTGGCGCTTGTTCGTCACCACAGTTCTCGCCCGGCACACGTTGCGAGTAATTGGGGAGGCGAGACTTCTTCGCCGAACCCGTCAGCTGCGTGGCACGTAGTGTGGATTCGCGGTTGGGGAAATCCATATTTCGCTGCCGAAGCTCTGCCTGGTTACACGGTTCGCTAAGCTTCACTTCGATCCGGCGTTGACTCGCAATTTTCTCTCTGCACAAGTTTCTTCGCCAGTTCCATACGTGAGTTGTGGGTAGCGCAAGCCGAGGGGCCCAGACCAATCCACGCATCAACCGCCTTGCTTTGTGTATCTCTCGCTCCACCCAATCCCCACCACCCAATCCCTACCAAAATGAGTGGGTAGTTTCCAGTCGTCACGTGTGAGACCTGTATGCTTTCCGCCACTGTACCGTCGACCTAAGCCTTCACGCTCTCCGTGTATCTTCCTCCACTCGCCATCTAAACTATCACACTCGCATCAGAAAAACTTGAAGACTAGGAATTTCAAGGGCAGACTGAAACACAGAAAGCCAAGTAGTCGTGACCTCCCAGAACATTGGAAGCGGCAGTCACGACCGGATGATGCCGTCCGCCGCAACGTTGGTGAGTCGCGCCCAGTCGCGCGTGACCTAGTCGAGGTGTCACTTGACCTTATCGGCGTGCGAGGTGGGCGCGGCTGCCTGAGCGGCGGCGGCAGAGCCCTTGAGCACCACCTTGACGGCGGGCACGGGCACCAGCAGCCACCAGCGCTGCAGCTTGTGGCCCACCGACGCCGTCTGCGGGCCGCCCTTCTGCTTCTGGAAGTTGAAGTAGGCGGAGAAGACATGCAGCACGACCACCGTGCCGATCACACGCGCCGGCACCAGCAGCGGCACCACAGCGCACGCCGCCGCCCCCACCAGCAGGAGCGAACACACCTTCCTGGACAGCTGGGGGGTGGGGGGGTGGGGGGTTGGGAGGAAGAGGAGTGGTGGGTGGAGAGGGGTGGGGAGGGGGGGTGGGGAGGGGGGTGCATGGATGAGGCGTGGGGAACGGGTAAACCATGGGGAGAGAATTCATACATGCTCATATCAAACCCCAGGATCCCCTCCCACCCGTGGCTCCCCTGCCCCACCCGTGGCCCCCCTGCCCCACCTGCGGCTCGGCGGACTGGAAGATGCTTCTGACTTTGAGCAGCGCCACGTTGACGCGCTGGAAGACGGTGAGCGCGGCGGCGATGCCGTCCTTCACCATCAGCAGCGACGCCATGGCCGTGGGCGTCGGCTCCATCTCCACCACCAGCATGCGCATCGCCCCGCCGCCACCGCCCCGCCCCGCCGCCGCGGCTGAGAGTGATGCGGATGCTGGTGGCCGTGGTTGCAGTGGCGGCGACGACGACGACAGCGCCGGGCTGCCGGGGGTCCACTGAGCGCCGGGCGACTTGGGCGAGGAGGGGCGGGCGGGCGGCGAGGAGGAGAGGTTGGTGACGCGGTAGAAGATGATGACGGCGGCGAGGAGCAGCAGCAGGAGCGACGGGACGAGCCAGATGTACCCCCTGGCGAGGACACAGGGGTGGGGCGATGGGCCGGGGAAAGAGAAGGGGAAGCAATGTGGCAGGGCTGGGTGGAAAGCAGTAAGAACCGGAACTGCAAGGAGTGGCAAGAAAGTGTGCACACCATGGAAAGTGTGCTCACCATGGAAAGTGTGCTCACCATGGAAAGTGTGCCCACCATGGAAAGTGTGCCCACCATGGAAAGTGTGCTCACCATGGAAAGTGTGCTCACCATGGACAGTGTGCTCACCATGGAAACATTTATGTGTGCGCATGAAAAAAAAAAGGCACCATTGTATCGATTGCATAAGAGAAAGAGGGATATCGAAGAGAAGGGGAGAGTGCAAGAAAGGAGGGGAGTGGAAGAGAGATGGTGGTGCGCGGGGCACACCCGTTGACGAGGAAGAGCATGAGCATGGCGGCGAGGATGGTGAGCAGCGGCTCCCTCCACTGGATGATGTCCACCACGGCACGCACCGCCGTGTACGCCGGATGCAGCAGGTGCTGGGGGGGGAGAGAAAGGGGGGAAGAGGCGTTGGTGGGGCGTGCAGCTGGGGGAACGTGTTGGTGGTGGGGTGTGCAGAGCAATCCTGGCAACAAAGGTGAAGGATGAAAGCAAGAGGGACGTGTTAAAGATAGGGAGGGAGGGAGGGGGGGGGCAGAGGGAAGAGGGAGAGGGAGAGGGCGCGGAGTGGTACGAGGAGCAGCGTGACGTTGCTGGGGATGTCGTCGATGAGCGACCCCTCCACTGTCGCCTGCGCCCTGTCCGCTAGCTCCTCCCTCTCCCTGTGCCGCACATGCACACATGCGTGCACACAAGCACACGCACACACACATGCAATGAGAGGGGACACATAACTGTGAAGGGACACATAACTGTGATGGGACACATAACTGTGAGGGGACACATAACTGTGATGGGACACATAACTGTGATGGGACACATAACTGTGAGGGGACACATATCTGTGATGGGACACATAACTGTGAGGGGACACATAACTGTGATGGGACACATAACTGTGATGGGACACATAACTGTGATGGGACACATAACTGTGATGGGACACATAACTGTGATGGGACACATAACTGTGAGGGGACACATAACTGTGAGGGGACACATAACTGTGATGGGACACATAACTGTGATGGGACACATAACTGTGAGGGGACACATAACTGTGATGGGACACATAACTGTGAGGGGACACATAACTGTGATGGGACACATAACTGTGATGGGACACATAACTGTGATGGGACACATAACTGTGAGGGGACACATAACTGTGATGGGACACATAAGTGTGATGGGACACATAACTGTGATGGGACACATAACTGTGAGGGGACACATAACTGTGATGGGACACATAACTGTGAGGGGACACATAACTGTGATGGGACACATAACTGTGAGGGGACACATAACTGTGATGGGACACATAACTGTGATGGGACACATAACTGTGAGGGGACACATAACAGTGATGGGACACATAACTGTGAGGGGACACATAACTGTGATGGGACACATAAGTGTGATGGGACACATAACTGTGATGGGACACATAACTGTGAGGGGACACATAACTGTGATGGGACACATAACTGTGATGGGACACATAACTGTGAGGGGACACATAACTGTGATGGGACACATAAGTGTGATGGGACACATAACTGTGATGGGACACATAACTGTGAGGGGACACATAACTGTGATGGGACACATAACTGTGATGGGACACATAACTGTGAGGGGACACATAACTGTGAGGGGACACATAACTGTGATGGGACACATAACTGTGATGGGACACATAACTGTGAGGGGACACATAACAGTGATGGGACACATAACTGTGATTTGACACGTAACTGTGATGGGACACATAACTGTGATGGGACACATAACTGTGAGGGGACACATAACTGTGATGGGACACATAACTGTGATGGGAAACGGACGTTCAAGTGGTGAGAACGGCAGCAAGGAGTCGCTTGAAAATTCTTGCCTCTCACCTCGTCTCTCACCTCGCCTCTCACCTCGCCTCTCACCTCGCTCCTCACCTCGCCACCCTGACAGCCTTCTCCAGCTTCCTGTGAATCCGACCGCCAAAGCCCCTCTCCTCCTCCTCCTCCTCCTCCTCCTCTTCCTCCTCCTCCTCCTCCCCTTCCTCCACCGATCCCTCACTAGCCATAGACCCTCCCCCCTCCTTCCCTTTCCAAAACGACACAGACGACTGAAGCTTCCAGGAAGCAGACCGCCCAAGAGGCCTGAGCCCACCAGGCATCCCGCTCCTCTCCTCCCCCCCTCCACTGCTCTCCCCCACCTCATCCTCCTCGCCCTTCCCCACGCCGCTCCCCCAACCTCCCTTGCTCCTGAGGAAGAGCTCTCTCGGCGACGCCACCCCTCTGCCCCTGCCGCCCGCCCCCTCGTCCTCGTCCTCCCCCCCCTGCAGCAGGTACGCCAGGCGCTTGGCGGACCACTTGCCCGTCTTGAGCGCCGGCAGGCGCTGCGGGCCCCACAGGCGCAGCGCTACGGCCTGCTCCACGAGGTGGCCCTCGGGCACCGTGCGCGCCCACGAGAAGGGCAGCAGGCGCACGGGGTCAGGGGGCGTGCTGCCGATCACCGTCTGCAGCGCCTGCAACGCAAGGGACGGGGGTGGGGGTGGGAGGGGAGTGGTGAGGGGACGAGGTGTGTATGTGGGGCGTTCAGCCACGTGGCCAGGAAAATGGCACAGGTGGAGGGACGTGCTGGCTTGACTGCATCAAAGGCCTGTAGGGGAGGCGCTGGGCGGAGATGGGAATTCAGTACAAGGATGAGGGTGATGGCGCCCGTACACACGTCTCGCTGGTCTGCTCGCGCAGCTGCGTTTATTGTGGAGCGCGGGTCGGCAGTGCAGGCAGCAGCGGCCAAGCAGCAGGCAGCAGCGGCCAAGCAGCAGGCAGGGCACACGATGGTGAAGAGATGGGGCTGTCCGCCGTGGCAGTCACGTCCCCAACTCACACACGCAGGGCCTAAAGCCTGCAACCCTACATCTGAATTCGCACTTAGGCCGTGGAACCTTGAGTTTCGGTCCCCGCCAAGTTCCGGTGTTTGGTGGGGCTACAAAACGCTGATCTGGTGTTTCGCGCCAGGCGTTTTCGTCGCCAAGTCCGGTCCAAGTTCCGTTCCTGGCAGAAGCACTGCCACGCCCTTATAGCTGCAGCACTGCCTTCACCACCGCACCTGCAGCTGCAGCACGGCGTTGACCATCGCCCACAGCGCCTGCTGGCACCCCTCCTCCACCAACAACCGCCCCAGCGACTGCTTCTCCGCCTCCCCTCCCCTCCCCCACTCCCCTCCTGTTCCTCCTCCTCCTCCTTCTCCTCCTCCTCCTCCTCCTCATCATCATCACTGGCCGTTCCATCGCTCAGGTCATCCTCAAACTCCCCCTCCTCCTCCTCCCCCTCCTCCGTGCCAGCTGGCAGCACGTGAGTGGGTGCGGGCCTGTAGTCCGCAAGGAAGGCGTGCAGCGCGAGCACCTCCCCCAGCAGCGCGTGCCACAGGTCGCGCTGGCGCTGCAGCTTGTACTCGATGAACTCCAGCGTCCACGTGGGCTGCCTGGTACACGAGGAACGAGGGGAGAACAGGGGGAGCATGGGGAGAGGAGGAGTGCTGGTGTGGGGGGTTGAGCAGGGAGTAGAAGTGGCTCTGCCGCTGCAGCTTGCGCTGCATGAACTGCAGGGCCCACGTGGCCTGCTTGGTGGGTACCAAGTTGTGGAGGACGGGGGGAGAGGGTGGGCGGGACGAGTGAACAAGGGGAAGCTAGGTCCCTCTGCTGCCGCAGCCTGTACTCTATCAACTCCGGCGTCCACGCAGCCTGTACTCTATCAACTCCGGCGTCCACGCAGCCTGTACTCTATCAACTCCGGCGTCCACGCGCGCTGCCTGGTAACGAGGGGGAACGGAAAAAGGTGGGGCGGAGGAGACGGGGGTGGGGGAGTAGGAGGTGCGGGGTTGGTGGAGGGGGGAGGGGCACCTCCCCTTTATTTTCCAGAAAGGGTATTCTACGGAGAGAGAGCAGGATGGCACGAGAGAGGTGCAGATGAGAAGGTGGATGAGAAGGATGGCGGGAGGAGAGGGCGAGGGAGCGCACAGGCGGGAGGAGAGGGCGAGGGAGCGCGTCATGGAGAAGACGTTGAGCGATAGCGCGTCCGGCGCCACCGCCGCCACCTTGTGGCCCGCCCCCAGCGCTGCGAGGTCGAAGCGCTCCACCTTGCCCGCCACCGTGCGCAGGAAGCCAGTGGCGTCCGCCTGGGGGGGGTGGGGATCGGGTGTGGACGTTGCGAGAGAAGGGATGTAAGGAGGGAGTGTGCAAGGAGGCGGGAAGGACAGCGGATCAGAGCATATCACCTGCAGCAAAAACTTTTGAGAATTCTCAAAAGTCTCTCGCAAGGACTTCAACTCCCTCGCTTCGTTATCGGTTGGAGTTCAATCGTTTTCTCAATTGTTTTCTTGGCTCAATTTGGGCGGGTTGGCTGGTTTTACAACTGGCAGACCGCACTCACCCTTTGTGGTGCGCTGCATGGGTAGTTTCAAAGGTACCCAGCTAGATGAATAGCTGGCGAACTGCTTTTTGGGTTAGGACCTGGGGATTTTCGGGGTTAAAGTGTAGAACGCGGAAACTAGAGGGGAGAGAAGGCGATTCTCTGTCATTCGTGTATGCCTCGGAATGGCCAGTGGACTATTTGCCCAGATTCTTGCCCGCTAGCGATTCTTGCCCACCAGCCATTCTTGCCCACCAGCGATTCTTGCCCACCAGCGATTCTTGCCCACCAGCGATTCTTGCCCACCAGCGATTCTTGCCCACCAGTGATTCTTGCCTACCAGCGATTCTTGCCCACCAGCGATTCTTGCCCGTTCTTTCCAAATTCTACCCACCCCTAGCACCCTAACACTCCACGCAACATCCGATTGGCCTGTTGCGGTCAAAACTCATCTTCTCTGCAGGAGGCGGGAAGGACAGCGGATGAGAGCATAGCACCTGCAGCAAAGACCCGAGCGAGTGGCGAGAAGGATGCGCAGGTGGCAGCAGGGTGCACCTGGAAGCAGAGGGCGCACCTGGAAGCAGAGGGCGCACCTGGAAGCAGAGGGCGCACCTGGAAGTAGAGGGCGCACCTGGAAGTAGAGGGCGAGGGGAGTGAGGTAGAGGCGGCCGTGGCCCACAAGGGTCTTGGGGGCCCCGGGCGCGTCGAGGTAGAGCGTGGCGTCGCTGTCCGCCACCACCACCTCCCTCTCCTGCAGCCCCAGCGCTGCCGCCACCATGCCCGTGCGCTTGCCCATCGCCTCGTGCTCGCTGTGCGGCACGAGGGGCACGGATAGCATGTGATATGGCATGGCATAGGGGAATGGCATGGGGCGTGGAATGGGATATGGCATGGGGCGTGGAATGGGATATGGCATGGGGCGTGGAATGGGATATGGCATGGGGTGTGGAAAGGGATATGGCATGGGGCGTGGAATGGGATATGGCATGGGGCATGGAATGGGATATGGCATGGGGCGTGGAATGGGATATGGCATGGGGCGTATGGCATGGGGCGTGGAATGGGATATGGCATGGGGCGTGGAATGGGAACAACACACTCACTATTACTATTGCCGAGTGGCACACCAGCTGCAGCTCTTGCCCCATGCCCCATGTCAAATGCCCCATGTCACATGTCAAATGCCCCGTGTCATATGAACCATGCCCTATGTCAAATGCCCCATACACCATGTCAGATGCCCCATGCCCCATGTCAGATGCCCCATGCCCCAAGTCAAATGCCCCATGCCACATGCCCCATGTCCCATGTCACATGCCCCGTGCTGCATGCCCCATGACCCATGCTCCCATGCCCCATGCCTCATGCCCCATGCCCCATCCCACATCCCCCATCCCACATGCCCCATCCCACATGCCCCATCCCACATCCCCCATCCCACATGCCCCATCCCATGCCCCATCCCATGCCCCCTCCAGCATCCCCACGCACTCTGCCACAGCCGCCACGAATTGATGCAGGCGGTCAGCGGACAGCCCCGAGGGCGGCGGCTGGGCGGAGGGTGAGTTGGCGGCGCGCGTGAAGGCGAGCAGGTGGTGCAGGCAGGGCGCCGTCACGGGCGACGCCAGCTCCGGCAGCAGCGGGGCGATGCGTGCAAAGCCCAGCGCCATGGCCGTCTGCTCCGGCACGCGCTCCTCGTCCTCCGCGCCGTCCGACGCCGCTGCTGGGCGCTGCTGGTGGCGGGACGACACACAGCGCATCATGATGGTGGCGGGGCGACACACAGCGCATCATGATGGTGGCGGGGCGACACACAGCGCATCATGATGGTGGCGGGGCGACACACAGCGCATCATGATGGTGGCGAGGCGACACACAGCGCATCATGATGGTGGCGGGGCGACACACAGCGCATCATGATGGTGGCGGGGCGACGCACAGCGCATCATGATGGTGGCGGGGCGACACACAGCTCATCATGATGGTGGCGGGGCGACACACGGCGCATCATGGGCGAAGAAGAGCATGGCAGGCACACATGGGTGGGCCGGTGCAGGCCGCGAGTTGGACAGGCAGTTTTCCATGGCATGGGGCATGGCACGGGGCATGATGGGTGGGAGGCTTCAGACGCGGGTTGGACAGCAGCAGTGTTCCGTGAATTAATTGGGGCCAAATTGCACAGCACACGTCCCATGCGCGCTGCGCCCACCCGTCACCAGTTCGCCCCACCATAGTTGGCCCATCGGTCCCCATCCCACCGCCACCACACCACCCCCCCAGCGGCACCTGCTCGTGCCCCACGGAGGGCGGTCTGGGCGGCGCCCCCCTGCTGCCCCCCACCGCCCGTAGGGACGCCTGGCGCCGCCCCTCTGCTGCTGCTGCAGGGAGCGCAGGTGAATGCGGTGCAGCGTGGCGAAGGTAGTTATGGCGCGGTACAGCAGCTGGTGCAGGGCACCGCCTGGAGGGGGCGGAGGGGAGGGAAGGGGAGGGAAGTGGTGGAGGCAAGTAAGCGAGGGCCTGTGGAAGGGCGTGCATGCGGGACTGCAATGTGTGCAAGTGGGGGGGCAGAGGGTAATGGAGACAGCAGGGGATAACAAGAGGGCGGGGAATATTGAACGCAAGGCTGCGGAAGGGGGGATGGAAGAGGGGAGGCGCGTGGCACCTTGGAGGCGGCGAGGGCGGAGCGCAGGGGGCAGGCGCGCAGGGCTTGGTGCAGGGCGAAGAGCAGCAGCTGTGAGGCGTACAGCGCGCTGTCCGCCCCCCCGACCACGCGCGCGTGCCGCCGCTCAAACGCGCGCTGAGGGACGCGGGCTTCCTGCCCAGCATGCTGAGGGGCGTGGATGGCGGCACGTGAGTGGGTGGCATATGGGCGGCACAGGGGGTGGCACATGAGGAGCGCACAGGCATAAACGTGGCGTCATCTCAAACTGAGGCGCGGGTGCACGGGCGATGGCGCGCAGCATGGCAACGACCTCCCCATGCCACGCAACCAACGTGGCTGTGGGCGCCAGCACCATCCTTCCCTCCCACTCACAGCACGGCAGCCCATCCCCTTCCCCTCCCCGCGTCCTCCGTTCCCCCTTCTCCCTCCGCATCCCCCCTCCCCCTCCGCTCTTCCCCTTTCTCCTTCCCATTTCAACCTGTCCCCTCCACCAGGCGCACTCCCGCCAGGCGCACTCCCGCCAGGCGCACTCCGCCTTCGCGCCTCGCTCTGGCGAGCTCGCGCTGGGCGCCACTCCTCACTCGGCGCCCGCTCTCACGAGCGTCCATTCGCGCTTGCGAGTGCTCACGTTTTGCGACAAAGCTTGCGTCGCACATACAACTGTTCTATTCCCTTCGCATATGCGACCGTTTCACTTTCACTCTCGTCGCATCCGACTGTCTCAATGTTACTCGTGCGTGTGACCGTTGCAATTCCAATCACGTCGCACTTACGACCTTTCCCATTTTACTAACGTCGCGCTTGCAATTCTACAGTTTTTGTCGCATGGTGCATGCGACCGTTGCAGTGTCACTCACGTCGCACACGCCTGCACGATGGCGCGCAGCTCCTCCAGAGCCGCCGAGGCCTCCCTCTCCCTCATCGCCTCGCGCTCCCCGCCGCTGCCGCTGCCGCTGCCGCTCGCGCTCAAGCTGCCGCCATGGCCGCCTTGCACGCCCGCCATGGCCGCACGTGAAACGTCGAGGCAACAACGCCGTCAGTGGTCCGCGTTACTCTTCTTGGTTTCGAACGTCGCTACTCGTAGCTAAAGGCGGAAGCCCGTCACTACCAAGCTGCACTCAATTGGGTGGGACTGGCAACTAAAGAAGCAAGCTTGCCACATTAGGCGGCAATAGTGTGGAGTGGGAACCTGGGGTGCCTCTCTTCTTCTAACGGAGCTTTGCAGCGCGCGAACCCACGACCGTAGCGTTTCGTGTTATGCTATGGTGTAGAGAACACTAAAACTGAAATGAACAAATATTTGTCCTTATTCCAAGTCTTGAACTTTGTGTTCACGAGTAGCTTTATTGCATCCATCCGAGTCCTATTAAAAGCGCCATATAGTGCATTTCCAATGGGTGGTACGATATTTGAAAGCCTCATAGCTGCCCCCCCAAAGCCCGCTGCCCTTGCTGCTGACGTGACGTCCGAGCAGCGGACTGAGTTCAAGACTAGCCTAGCCGCCTTCTCTGTCTGGAAATCCCGCAACGCAGCTGCGCAGCTGGCAGTTACTAGGGTCCTCCCTCCTGACGAGCAGACTCGCTTTGATACGCTCAAGACTGCTATGAATATATGGGATGTCGTTGTCGCTGACTCTACCCAGTCATCGGCCACCATAGGTCCCACCGTTTCTGTTCCCAGGCCTAGCCTCCTTCTCCACTGTCGCAGACCTAGCAGTGCACCTGCAGTCCCTCGTGACTTGCTGGCATGCAGCTTGCCCTAAGAAGCACCACACCACTCACTTCCCACCTACCTACCTCATCCTGTACCTCCTTGTCACCCGCCTCCCTGACCATCTCGCCCCTGTGCGAGACACGCTTCTCACTGTGTCCCCCACCTCCCTCACTATCGCTGAGTTCTCCTCCGCCCTAACGACGGTTGAGTCGTGCCTCCGTGCCCTCGCTGACACCACTGGCACAGTGGTCGTCCCCGTCTTCAGGGCTACTCTGCCCCCCAGCTCCCTGTCTCTGGAGCCTCTGCCTCTATTGCGGCGGCCACTGAGACTGCTGGGCAGCCTCCTCGGGCCAGAGGGGCAAGGGAGTGCGCAGCAGCAGGCGGTGGGGGTGTGGGTGCGACGGAGAGAGTGGACAGTCGGAGTCGGGGAGTGCGCAGCAGCAGCAGCCATAGCTGCCGTGGGGCCGGCGGGCCCTGGGAGCGATGGTCGTGGTGGAGGACGTAAAGGTTGGGCCCCAGGGCAGTCGGTACCCTGGGGGTCGAGTGGCTCTTTGTGTGCTAGGGCGTTGGTGGTTCTGGAGGCGCGGGACCTGCACGTACCACGTGCTGAGCGGCCCGCAGGCAGGCCAGGTCTGCGGGCACGCGGGGCATACCGCCGCCCCCTGTTACCGCCTCATGGACGACCTCTACCGTCGCCAATTCGGTCCCTGGTGCAGGTACCTTACTGGACCACTGTGCTCGTCATAGTGTTTCGATCTTAATTGGATATAGTTCAGATAGGTCATGCCTTGTATTCTCGGTATGCTGATAACTCTAGTGCGACTAGTCTTGTTATCTTGTTGCGTGTAGCCTAGGAGCCACTGCTGTGTAAATAGGATCCCTGTTGCGTCAGGCGTAGGCTCTGTACGATCCTTCGTTGGGCCCTACCACGTCGGCCCTCTCATTTATCCTAGACTCTAGCTCATCACGTTCTTCTTAGAGAGAGTACTGCTCTCACCCCGCTTCCTGCATATGCGCGTCGCACTAGAAGACTCTTCAGCCACAGCTGTCGCATGCAACACCACCACATTCCCCTGTCCAGCTATCCCCTCAGGATCCCTTACTGGTCTGCACATCCCCTCGTTTGCCAGAACTTAGTGGGTGTCGGTCACCTCCAAGACCAAGGCATCACCACCACGTTCCCTGGCCACGACGATGTGCAGCCTGCACAGACACAGCCACCGGTCGCCACCTAGCCACTTTTGAGCGTGACCCAGGGTCCGGTCTCTTCACCCTGCACAATGAGTCACCGTCAGTTGCCGCGTCTGCTGAGGTCGCCGTGTCCTGCCCTGTCACACACTGGCCCACCCGAACCTCGAATGCACCACCGTTAGGTCACCCTGCACTCTCGCGTCTTAAGCACATGTCCCAGCACGGTCTAGTTACTGGTCTCCCCGCGTCGCTCCGCCTTGCGTGTGTCAATAGTGCCACGTGCACCTCTTGCGTCGAGGGCTGGCAACGCGCCGCCCCCACTTTCCTCCTTTCTTCCTACCACAGCGCCGTTACAGACACTGCAAATGGAACGTCTCGGGCCCTGCCCCGCTCCATAGTCTTAGTCGGGAGCACTACTTTCTAGTCGTCGTTTGATGACTTCTCGCGGTTCACCACAGTGTTCCCGTTGGAGCAGAAGGTCGACATACCTACAGTTCTTCCTCTCATGGCTCTTGCTGTTCGCAGTCACCATCACCTACCTATAGTTTGCTTACACTCTAACCATGGTGGCGAGTTCTCCTCTGGCTGTCTAGGACAGTTCTGTCGTGCGGAGGTATCCGCCAGACATACAGACTGTCGGACTCCCCATAGCAGAATGGGTCAGTGAGCAACGCATCGGCCTGCTCATGGAGCTAGCTTGAACCCATGGTCCACGCCGGTGCACCCCTATTTCTGTGCCGTTACAATGCGCTACACTGCTCACCAGCTTAACCTGTAGCCTCGCTCCCAGCGGCCACAGGTTTCGCCGACCCTTCTCCGGACCGAGCAAGCACCCCAAGGACCAGCACCCCCAGAACCAGCACTACTAGAACCAGCACCCCCATAGTCCACAGTCCCCCGTCGCTGCTCCTACTGCGGCTGCTACTGTTGCTGATTGCTACTGCTGCGGAGGCGGCACGGGGGAGGCTGTTGATGTGCCTGGGGCACCGGGATCGGGGGGAGGGGCGCCGCAGCTGCGACAGGCACACCCCTAAACACGGGGCCTCCAGGGTCAACAGAATGCCCCCAAGCCAACGAGGGGAGAGGAGTGGCAGGGAGACACCAAACGGGGTCGGCGGGGTGGGAGGTTAGCGACACACGGAGGAGGGGCGAGTAAGAGGGGGAGGACAAACACGAGCGCCACGGTAAGGAAAGTGAGCTCATTTGATTCGGACGCATCGAACGTAACGTCAGACGAGTGAAAGAAGTGGTGCTGTCCCGTATGGTAGAACAGCCAGTCAGGAGTGTCAAGCCGGAACACGAGTACGACACAAGGGAGAGTGAAGCCTGAGAGCTTTCTGTACTGGGTGCGTGGACGTGAGCCAGGCAGCCCCGGACGTGGAACGCAGACGCATCACCAGGAGACCCAGTCCAGAGGAGGGTCGACCAAACCAGTGGCTGCGAGGAGCGAGACCACAGGTTAAGCTGGTGAGCCGCGAACCGCACCACGAACAACCACAGAAAATGGGGGGCACCGGCATGGACCATGGACTGCGGGCCACCTCCATAACAGGCCGATGCGTCGCTCAGCTACCCCATTCGGTGCGGCGAGTCCGGAAGTTGAACGTCTGGGTGATGGCCTCCGCACAATCGAACGCACTAAGACGGCCGGAGGCGAACTCGCCACCACGCTCGGAGTGAAGACCGAGCACAGGCAGGGAGCGTTGGGTGCGACGACACGGAGCCACAGAGGAGGGCGTCAGGCATGTTGGCATTCGGCTCAACTGGAAAACCGTGTGAAGTCGTCAACAACAACCAGAAAGTGTGCTCCCTCTGAGGCCCCTGGGCCCGGGCGGGGCCCCAGACCTCCATGCGCGGGAGTCTGTAGGGGACAGTGGTTGGGGGAAACGAGAGGAGGAGAGGGGCACTGGCGCTAGTGGATGCAGGTGCACTAACAATGAGAACGGCCGTGGCAGCTGTGACTATAGCAGTGGGCGAAAGTGGCTGAATGGCTGTGTAGCGTAGGCCGGCAGCTAGCTGGCGATTGGGCCGGCGGTTGGCTGACTGCGGGCTGTGCGGCTGGCAGGCAGCTGCCGAGGAGCTGGCTGGCAACTGGCGGGCGGCTGGTCGGCTACGGGCTGACGGCTGGCTGAAAGCTAGAGGGCGGGCGGCTATGGAGGCAGGCAGCAGGAGCTAGCGGCAGCAGCGAGTGTCCAGCGGCAAAGCGGCAGTAGCGAGCAGCGGGCGGTAGGCGGCAGCAGCCAGCAGCAGGCGGCAGGGGCGAGCGGCAGGCTGACGGCGGCGAGCAGCAGGTTGGCGGCAGCGGTAGGCACGGCAGGCTGGCAGTACAGCAGCGAGCGGTAGGCCAGCGGCAGCGGCAGGAGCGGCAGGCTGGTGGTGCGCAACGAACGGCAGGCTGGCGACAGGGCTGGCAGCGAGCTGCGGTGACGAGCTGCGGCGGCAAGTGGTGGCGGCGAGCCGGGCGAGCCGCCAGTGGCGAGCTGGCGGCGGCGAGCTGCTGGCGGCAAGCGGCAGGCAGCGAGCTGGCGGCGACAAGCTGGAGTTGGAAGCTGGCGGCGACGAGCTGTGGCGAGCTGGCCGGCGGCGACCTGTGTGGTGGCGAGCAGCGGGCAGTGCACGGCGATGACACGCGGTAGCGGTGGGGACGAGCGGCGCGCTGGCAGCGCGCAGAGTGGGTGGCGCGGAGTGACGGTGGTAGCGGGGAGCGCGGATGCAGGGAGGCGGCCTAAGGCTAGAGTGCAGGCTAGGGCAGCATACTAGGGCGTAACCTAGTCTAAGGAGGTAAGCTAGGATGGGAAAGGAGTGGGGAGCACCTAGGATGGAAGCGTGGCAACTATGAGCTAACCTAGCTCGATACCATATGGAGAGGAGAAAAGTTTACTAGTGCAAGAGCGCAAGAGAGTTTGTATCTAAGAGTTGTACCCTATATAAATTGCACATGGCTAGGCAATAGTTTATATATATATTCCTAACATATATAAAAACTCTAACTTAATTAGTCTAAATAAGATTAAAAAAAAAACCAGGGATTATGTCTTGTGGGATTATACGTACAGAAGGTTAAACGATACATAATCTTGTGGGTAAAAGTGGTAGGTATATGGAGCATGGATGATTATACCCTGATGGCTTGAAATCACTAACCACATTTTCTACATTTCTCTTTTGTTTTGGGTTGGGGAGAACCTATGGCAATCGATCGGACAAGTTTAATTTCATCCTAAAATTCAAAAGA